GCTGGCTGTCCAAGTTCTCCCCAGTCAAGAGTAAAAATGAGGGTAGGAGTAAACAAGAATACTAGCACAACAATTATTAGAAGAGATTTTCTTTTTGAGCCGCCCCGGGCCACCGGAATCCCTAACAACTGCCCCTAGTTCGCAGATGAGAGTTCTTAGATGACGGGTCCCTTTCTTGAGGGTCCATACAATAAGAAGTGTAGTGTATAGGGTCCATGTTGGGCCGCCATTCATGAAAGCCACCATACCACGATGGTATACTATGCCTCGGGATCGCCTTGGAAATCTATTACCTAAACCCCCAAAGGTATGTAGAATAATGGCCTTTTTGGCTATATTTATGGGTTTTGGGCTATTATTTTACCTACTTTGGGGGTCCAGGTAAAAGCTACATGGCGTGAAGCGTACAACCCTGGGCCTTGGCTTGAGTGAGGAACCTTCGCTGGGTGGTGGACTTCAATGTCTTGGAGTGGCATTTCCTGGAGGCATCAGGGACGTCTCACAGCTACCACGGGAGATGTGTAGGTTCGGACCCAGGGTGTCGAGTTCAGGGCCTGAGTCTAGTCGCCAAGATGAACCTAAAGCCTTCGCATGTCGGGTAGCCAGCAACCAAGACAGTGAGACTTCACCGGGCCGCCCAGCCTTTGCGTATAATCGCTCGGGATGTCCCGCGCATTAGGACCTCTTATAGTGAAGGTGCCATTGGGTTTAAATTGTGCGTAGCAGCTTTTTGGGAACTTGCATGTCCGTCATTCATGCTTTCTGTGCCTTGCAGGGACAACCTGAATTGCAATCCTTCGCTATTTGTGTGCCCCACCATGTGGTAGTGGATTTGTATGTGTGGCTCGAGCAAACTCAAGTCCCCGAGCGGATACTCGACTTGAGTGATCGTATTCCATGCTTCATGCTGTCAACCCCTACCGCCCGCGGACACGTGCGCCCCCAGCATCGGTAAGCCAATCCTGTCCATGGCGTTGCATCAGCTGAGCTGACATCTTCTTCAACAATGGAGGGATGTAGAACAGTTGTAACTCTTTGCACTTTGTAATTTCTTCATACGGGGACGGTCAAGGAGAGCAATGCTGGCAATTCTGAGATGTTCGACCATAGCCCAAAATCCCCTTCGCTGGCAGGGTCAGATCAACCACAAGCTGGAGGCTGCGAGGGCTTGAACTGCAAAGTCAACCTTGGGATTTTTGCTGCGGTGTTCGTTATGTCAAGGCATTGCGCATCCTTGTGGCCCTAAGCGGGTATGTGTACACTGCCAAGCAGTTGGAAGCAGAAAGACGTTGAGGGACAGTAACCTCAAAGACCCTTGAGCACTTTCTGTTTGCCGAGTTCGGCAAACGGTCTGATGCAAGGGACCTTCTGCCTACCAAAGCTGCCCTGTCGGCGTTTTGTCTAGAAATCTGCGTGTGCGTCCAAAAAAAGTCTTGATTGAGCTGGGTTTGAATCTTGTCGGCAGATGGCTTGAGTATTTGATAGTGACTGAGCTTGATGCGTAGGACCGGGCATGTTTCGCCACAGTGGCACCATTAAACTCAAGAGTCCATGGCCCCATGGCCAGACACCCTTCTATTTTTTTTCGAGAAGGCTGTTCCGTCTTCCAACTTTCTTCCTCAGACCATCTAGGTGATGAGAGTCCTTGCAACTCCTTGGATAGCATGAGCAACTTCCTGGTGCAATGGTCGTTTTAAGTGCTGCACGCTTCACTTGCAAAAGCGTAGTGTAGGGGCGTCACGAACTGTCTGTGTCGTTTAGATTTCCCTTTGACGTACTCTCTACGACATATTTGCACAAGGAACCCAGGACAATACTATTGGAATTATTCACGCTTCTATAGTTGCTACATTTGTTGCCAACTTTCGCGGTTGGGCAGAATAGCCGATTCATTATTGAGCCCTTGGTAGCTCAATAATCGTCTTTCTCTAACGATACCTTGCCCCACCCTAACATCAGCAACCTTACATAACATACAATTGCATATTGGCGGGCAATATTCATCATTAGGGGCTGGGGGGGTTTTCATCATGAGGGGAGGGGGCTATCCAGGGAGCTACACGCTGCTAAAGCTGGATTGGGTGACCCCAGAATTTCTGTAAGGGGTTTAGGGTGTCTTTCCCCGTGGAATCCCTATGACTACCCTGGATCTCGAAGTCTGTCAAGAGCAGCTACTTCAGGCCTTCTTGATGAATGTCACCTACTTTGAACCTTCATTGCCTTTAGGTTCATAGGGATCTATAACTTTAGCGTTTAGTTAAGGTTCCCCATAAGTACACAAAGAATCTAGGACGATAAGATTGCTAATCACCTTCCCCGAATATGCACCCCCCACTACCCCTGCTTGTACTATATGTTCCGAATGTCTTATAGTCTGTTATAGTGGGAATGTCTAATGCTAGGGGGGGGTTCTGAATCAGCGGGATGGGATTCATAATTCAGGCCCCTACGCGGCACCCTATACCCTATTCCCTACCCCTAAATCTCCCGCCCTTGCTTAAAGGAGATCCATGCGGACCCGGCCGTAGCTCAGCCCCTTGGATTTCTGGGGTTAGGGCACCAGGGCTATATAGGGATTATATGAGGGGTAATATAGGGATTCTATCGGGATAATGGAAAAGAAAATGGGAACTACTATTCAGGGTTTAGGGATGGAAAGTTGGACACTCTAGTCCAGTGTACCCTGATGTGTAGTGGCCTCAGTGTTTGCTCGGATGGTATTCAGGTATGTTAAAGCATACGGTTGAAGAGTCCGTGCTTCTCGGGTCAGTTCTATATCTCGGGTCAGTTCCTATACATCATATCTTCAACTCATAGGATTGAACTGTCAGAGCTCCACCCCAGTGCATTTTCCATTTGGGAGGTACTGTTGTGTGAGGATTTGTTCCTGCACCGACCCCTTAGTCTTGTCGCTGGCAAGTTTGTTTCTGTGGCCCGCGCAAGCTTCAGACGATAATACGTGATCTGCCCCTGTTGCTCAGCAGACCAGAAGGTTGCCTGCAGCGCAAGAGTAAGCAAGAGTAAAACCGCGAGGACAATGCAGGGCCTCAATCATCTCAATAGGGTTTTAACGCATATGGATCTTTTTTTCTCCGAATTATCCAGGCTTTTGAATGACTCACGTGCAAGCACCCACTCTGGGTGCCAATGGCGACCACAGATTATTTTATACTGTCTTCCAGCTGAACTGTCCTTAAATTGTGTTCAGTGTGAGGTGGTAATTTTGAGCAAGTTTCGCAGGCAGTCTTAAATCTAGCTTGCATAGCTTGAGCCTACTTGAAGGTTCAATGATTGCATTGGCTGTGGATAGGCAATCCTTGCCCACCAGAGTCTAGCCTGTAGCATGGTAACTCAGAAACATTGAGCTGGTCTGTTGGTGTTGGGGTTCTAACTGTCAATCTCAAGCTGGGTGGCTACTTGGGCCCGCATGATGGGTTGCTCGGCTCACTTGAGGATTTTCATCCCGTTCGGCAAGAAATGTGGGGATTCCTACGATGGTCTTTCGTCTGCACTGGCAAGGTGTCGTGTGGCATCGCTTGAAAGATTTGCTGGTGTTTTTTTTGTGCAGTTTTCATGCCCTGCACTCTGAGATTATGTTGTTTGACTTTTTGTTGGGAGAGTTTGCAAACGTAACGGACAGCTTTGCCAGCAACGGCACCGATTTTGTTGCGTCTGTGCTTCTATACCTTGATCAAGAATCGGGCAGACCAACATCGGTGCCTCAATAATGGCCAGTACCTTCATGCTAGCTAAGAAGCTCGGACCTTGCTGCGAGAGTTAAGCCCTATATAGTAGTTTCCATTATATTTTCCACTATTCCAAATACAACCCCAATAATGTATGTAGTTTCCATTTTCTTTTCCATTATTCCAAATATAACCTCAATATAACCCTGCCTGGCCCTGCTTAAGATGCGCAGGCCCAGGCTTCCAAGTGCAGGACGGATCCTAGTGGCGATGGCTGTTGATGTTGCTTTACTAGGGATCCATTCCCTTTTCCGATCCCAAACGTAATGTCGGATATCTCCGTAAGCGCGGTGCATAAGACTCAGCTGTCTTGAAAGGTAATTAGGGTATATTAGGGTCTTGAAGGTTTGGGAGGCTGGATTTGGCGCCGAGTACGTCACGTTGGGGCTTAAAACTGTGGCGCATTGTAATTATACAGCTAATGTTTTCTACAGTTTGTTGCATCCTTTCCTTGTCCAGCCTAATTATGTCTCTAGGTTTGGCTACGCATTTTGCATCTAGTTCAATCCAAACCAAATCTAACAGGGATGCTTTAACAACTAGTGTCTTGTAGTTCCTTGTATTCTTGTCAGCGCTTGCACCCCCCTGACACCTATCAAGTGAGCCGACTTGAGCTACGTCGCCATGTGGAAACCGCCTCCCTAAACCTACTGTATCAAATGAGGCTACATGAGCTACGTTGCCATGTGGAACGAGAGCCACCAGACGGAGACGTGGCTGGGACACTTGGCCCACAAACTGTCCTGGTGTGATTTTCAAAGTTGTAAGGCCTTTTTGAAAATTGTTCTGTCTCATTGCCTGCATCTTCATTTCAGTTATGCTGGCCTGCAAGGCCTGGTGAGGTGTCACTCGGGTGATTTGGGTTACGAAGCTGTTGCATTGTTGCCAGTATTTCAAAAGGCATGAAAGGGTCTTGTTGCCGAGCTGACTAGGGCCCTCGCACACGTGAATGTTACTCGGAGGCAGTGACTGCGACTGATTACGAGGACATCAACCCAAACAGCGACCACAACAGCAACGTCACTCCACAAGGACCCAGCGCTGCTGGGCCGGCCATGGCAGGGGGGCAACCTGCAGGAGAGCATGGTCGGGGCCCCGGCACTTTCCTCGGTTGATTGTTGAATCCGATTCCTACTTTGTAGTATGTTGAGAGGCCCAAAAGGCACGACATGAAGTTGCAGCTTTCAATGGGTATCCCAATAACAGGATCCAGCCTCAAGGACTTGAATTAATTATGGCGAGGGTTTCTAATGCCGAGGTTTTTTTCTTAATATAGGCAGTGTAGGGGTCCTGTTGGGATGAGAATGTACTGTAAGAGTCAGTATTAGGGTGTTCTAGGACGGTCTTCCCAAAGACTTGCGGCTCAAGGTTAGAGGCAAAGTCGGGGTCTTAGGGGTGTGAGTATTAAAAGGGCTTGGGAAGCCAAGGTATCAAATGCAAACGCCATGAGAACGTTATGCTCTCAGGCTATGAGGATGTTCTCGAAAGTCTGGCGGACTATTTGAAGGAGAACGGACCCTTCGATGGCCTGCACCTAGGACACAAGCTGGTGGGTTTACATATCCTTTCTTCCAGATGTCTTGGGTGCAGAACATAGAGAAGTGCACTTTTGTATGATGTGGTTCTCAGTTTGGGCCATGTAGTTGAAAATTGCCGGGCTTTGCCTTTGCTATTCTGCTTTTTCTTGACCGGTCACCCCTTGGTACCTTGATATCAAATGTACCGTGCAACACCCAACGCTCAGACCCCAAACGCTTGATCCTTCCCCGACTTCATCGGGTTGTTCTTCGCGGTTATTGCCCTAGCTGTTCTGAGGGCATCTGATAACCCAAATCATGCAGGTGTGGCTTCGACATGGGCGGATGCCTTGCCTTTGATGCCGCCAGCCCTTTGGCAAGCCGTGTTGGCCGGGGCTGACTTGTGAAAGGCTTCTGTTCCATGTGTTTAGATTTTAGGTGGTATAAAAGCATTAATTACATGATGAGTTATACTAGCCGCTATATGGCTGTCATAGAGCATCCTCTATTCTAAGAAACGAAATTGACACCTATTGCCAGAAGGATGCGGGAAGGTACCTGGGTGCTAAAGTGCTGGCATGGCCAGCATTCAATGAGGCATGTGCAGGACAAGAAGCATGTTCAAGCCCGATGTTCGCTTTCCGGAGTTTATTCGCTAAACATGACCCTTCTCATGTTGGATGGCATGAATGCTTTCCCAACAACATACGCTCACACATGGGCACAGTTATCTTCACTAGCATAAATGCTCGGGGAAGCCATGAGCGCCAGAACACGATTCCTGCCCATATTGCCCAGCATGCATGCCGAATGTTTCGCGGCTTGCTGCATTGATTTGCTACACAGGCCTGATAGGCCTGTTGAGAGTTGAGCTTGCTTTCTCTATGCAGACTGTTCTGGTGTTCCTGCTAGTAGGCGGGGCTAAAGATGTCTCGAGGCGGGTACCGCGGCCAAGCGAATCAATCTTGTTAATTGTTCGGAAGGCAGGGGCTGCAAGCAATTATCAGATACAGCTTGGACATTCTTGGTTTTTGTATGTACAAGTTTGTCAATATTGTGGTCGTTTCTTGGGCCCCATTGGGAAGTACAGTCCCTGGCACTTGAGCTACAAGCAAAGGGATCGCGGCTGCCACGTTTTAGTTACTTCAGGCTGCCCCCGGGCTCAGGAGGTAGCCTACACAGTACTTAGGCAAACTTACGCTGTCATTGCTTTCTTACTGTTTACTGAAAAAAGGCCAGGTTCTGAAGGTAAGTATGTAGTAACGCACAGCCAGAATCACGGAACCCCGAGGAGAACTTACACTTTCTTGCAGATGCAATTCCAGGGATCAAAGTCCAATGTAGGTCATGTCAGACCTTAGGGCCCTGGGGCCCGATGTAGGTATTCTTTCTATTCTATATTTGGATACCCTTAGTTCCTATAGAACCCTTAGAAAGCCATTAGAATTCGATTTGCTATGGGGCCCCCAAACCTACCCAAGTACAGCTTTTTAAAACGTGTCAACTCAGGACTCGCACAGGAAGGCGACCCACGGTTCGAGGAGCAACAAGAGGGCGGGTCTCCCAAATTTGGGGTGGTGAGGATATGAAGGGATCAGAAGTTTAGGTTTTAGAGTTCAAGAATTCCTAAAATCAGGGGTGCCATTTTTGGGGCTATCCTTTTCATACTTTCATGTGCGCATGTGGGTGTAAGTGTATAACATGTGTGCATGAACGTATGCATGCTTGCTTGCCTGCCTGGTTGTGTCTGCGTTTTGGTTTGGCCGCTTACCGAGTTGTGGTGATTTGTTTGTGTCGTTGGTTTGGATGTTTGTGTGCTTTATTGCTTTCTTGCTTGCTTGCTCGCTTGCTTGCTTGCTCGCTCGCTCGCTCGCTTGCTTGCTTGCTTGTGTTTGTGCTTGTTTGTTGGTTTGCTTGCTTGCTCGGTTGTTTGCTTGTCTGTCTGTCTGTTTGTTTGTTTTTTCTTGCTTGCTTGCTTGCTTGCTTGCTTGCTTTGCGTTGCTTTGCTTGCTTGCTTGCTTGCTTGCTTGCTTGCTTGCTTGCTTGCTTGCTTGCTTGCTTGCTCGCTTGTGTGTTTGTTTGTTTGTCTGCCTGTTTGCTTGTGGTTGGTTAGTTGGTGCGTTGGTTGGATGCTCGCTTTTGGGAGACCCTTTCAACGCAGGTTTTGGCAAAACCTAAGCCTGCAACCTACAACCCTCTAAACCTTGCAGCCTTGCAAAGGAGAAATTTCGGTACTTGATCCTTTTTTCCACCCGCGGCCATCGGGAGATGGCGAAACTGTCGCAAGGTAGGCCTGGGGGAAGGTCACCTTCTTGGGCTTAAGGGACCGTGTGTGTGAACTAAACAATACCAGGGCCTAGGGCTACCATGGGATTACAACGGGTGGACGTGGCCACCTTCTAAGGTCCTTAGTCCTTTGCCTGATGAGAACCAATGTCCACAGACTTCTTTAGAAGTACTTAGTACTGACGGTAGCTTATGTAGATTGTGGTAGTCTGGGGTGTGTTCTCTTTCAAAGCTTGTTGTGACTTTGTTTTTCTTGCCGGGATGCGGTTCGACCTTGTCTTTGGAAGTGTAACTGGCAGTAAGTTTTTCGGCTGCTGTCATGCAGGACAGTTGTGTAGAAGAATGCATGGGGCATACGATGCCCTTCCCGAAGGGATGGGCTTCGGCTGGCTAACCTATACCTGAAAACCCTGTAGAATATCATGACAGACATGAGGCTTTCTCAAAGTCTTGCCTCGTCCTTGCGGGATTATATGTGTTCTGGGGGACCCTGGCTTCTGGAATATGTTGTTAAACGAATTTTGCACACCCCACTTGGCTGCAAGATGTCGCCTTCCTTAGGGCCCGTCGAAATGCTATCTGGGTAGTTGTGAAAACTAAAGCCCCTTCTGTGTAACCTGATTAGCATGTCCCATCAGACTCCCCGTTATGAAGTGGATGAGGGAACCCTCTTTTACAAACCCGATTTGTGAAGCACTGGTGCAAGGTGGGCATAAAGTAATAAGACCATATAAAATGTGGCTTTGCAGCACACATGTATACAACGTTTATATAGACACTGTTTTTATGCTGCTCCTGGGCATGCTCCTTTGTTTCTTTGAACTCATATCTTTGATTTCATCTTTGTATTTTTTGTGTGAAGATCGTGAAGATCATGAAAAATCAAAACAACGCAATTTCTTGTAATTCGACCCGCCCCCTCGTTTAACAAAACATGGCAATGGCTCCCCCCCCACACCCCCCCCCACCCACCCCCCCGCACTTTATAGCTGTATGGTTTTTGGGGTGGGCACCCCCCCCATTTTATAAACCATAGTTGAAGACATAAACACTTTGAGGCTCCCCCCGCCCCATTTTATAATCTAACATGGGAGAAGCTGGTCACTGTGGTAATTTAAAGGGAGACACCTAAACTTTAAGGCCGTATTAATGTGGTACCAGACACCCGAAAGAGGCATAACTGTGACAGCAGCATGACTTAATTTCCTATGGCTTAATTTCTAAAGAGATCAGAAGCCTACTTGGTTGAGATCACGGCGCTGATTGAGCAGGAAGATTGAATCGGCTGCTTGCTTAGGCTTCAGGGCACAGCGCCCTTACATGCCCATCGACTCAAAGGGAATCGCCCTAGACCTTAACCTCATCACGTCACATAGCCCCAGAGTTGGGATCGCAATGTCTGCGCAGCTTTGTTGAACCCCACTCTGAATGCCCGGGTTGCGGGATGTAGCGTGTAGGGTTCATGGGTTTCGGGTTTCAGTTTAGAATCGTTTTGCGTTCCTGGGGATGCTGAACTCGTTGTTTAACGGAGATTCTAGTATAATTACACCTTGGAATTGGCGTGAACCCTTACGCCCTCAATCCTGAAGCCAGAGCATCAACTTAAAACTTGAAACACTACATCCCGAAAGGATCCTGAGAAACTGCGCCAGGAAGCTTCCGACCCAAAGCACCGCTGCAGCTGCCCACTTTTCTGTGCTGGTCCCAGGAGGACGACATGCCATTTAGGGTGGTTCCAGGCAATTACAGACATCATCTGCGCAGCGCACAGAAGTGTGCTCGGTGGACATGGCGATAGAGGCGATTGTGGTTCGTGATGATGTTTGACGGCTCGCGCATGATCTGTTTGCACCACAATGCATGGGGTGCGTTACAATGTAGCATCTCCACAAGCCCTAGACTCTCTGAGAACAGCTGAGCAGTAGGTCATTATGAAGCCAGATCCTCAACTGGAGTTGCTGGCCTTTGAGGCTTTGGGATTGTGAGCCTGCAACTTCCAACACGTGCTAATTCCTGCAACCTCCATTTCCTAACCAGCCCTCCTCCCCAGCCTCGAAGCCAACATGTGGCATTCCTCTAAATGCCAGTTCCCATGTCATGCTCCATTCTCTTTTCCACATGTTGTCCCTTATTTCCAAAACTCAATATGGTAGTTTCCCAAAATGGGGGGAACCCAATATAGACCCCCCAATATACTATAGTTATTGGGACCCCCAAAAAGGTACTGCTAATTTTGGGAAAAACCCCCATATGTCTCAACACATCCCTAAATCGCTAAGCGCCATGGACTTGGAGACGCTGCTATTCACCAGATACCAGCCTTTACATTGTCCATTTTCTGGGTTGCTGCTAAGGAACTTAAATTAAGGGATTATCCCCCTATAATGGAGAATCAAATGGAAAAGAAAATGGAAAATGAAATGGAAACTGGGGGAAATAGAGGGATTTAAGGAACTTAAATT